ACCTAGCAAAAACATCTAAACTAAACAAAAAAAACGTACATAGGTTCGGCTAAACAACCAAAAAAAAGAAAAAATTGTAGCAAAAAAAATCGACAAAAAATTTAAAGAGAAACAAAAAAAAAGGTTGACAGACCACACTCTTTTAAAAGCTTTGCCACAACAATAAAAACCTATAACAAAATCCTCCTAAATGAAAGTTTAAACAGCACACCTATTCAAGCTAGAAACAATTGAAAAAAAAAAAAAAGATTACAAAAGACACTTGTAAGAACAAAAACAAACACGTGGAAGAAACAGAAAAAACTTATGCAACCCTTCTCTTTTCCCTAAAACAACACAGCAATAATATTAAAAAAAAAAAGCAATAAGCACCTATCTTCTTAAGAAAACTCACAATACCCTTTTTATATAAATGTTTATAGATAAGTTCCATTTTTTGGGTATTTTTTTACATATTATTGTGTATTTTTAATAAGAACTTGTTTCTTTTTCTATAATTATTCAAGCATAATTAATTATTCTATTACTAAATTAAAACTTAAATTTTGAGAAGAATTTTTTTAACAATAAGACGTTTTTAGATTTTGCTTAGTACATCAACTCATCGCATCCATTCATGTGAATTTATTGATTTTGAATCTAATAAATTTATAAAAAAATTATTTTTTTAATAATTTTTTAATGATTTTAAACTCCAATAATCAATAAAAAATAATTTTTTTACCATTTAAATCAACATCCATTGATATTAAAAAAAAAAAAGATAAAATAGGAATATACGTGGTCCTATAGTTTCTCAAATTATCATGCTATACGTATATGAAGAGAACCACAAATTCCATGAAATTAATTAGTGAATTATTAATTTAACTTATTAATATGCAAAGCCAAAGAGTAGATGTCTTTTACTCCATGAAAGGTTAAAGACATGCTCCAATTGAAAGTGAGTGGGACATTGAAATTTGTCCTAATTACAGCATTTCCAATTCCTTATCCTTTGGTATTTCAATTCCAAGAATAGGATTGGACCACAAAAAACGAAGTGGGGAAAAGGGAAAGCGCATTGGAAACCTTTTTCTTTGATTGGATGCCTACTTTAAATCAATCAAATAAATCCCAACTTGCAATAGTGCTTTATTAATGTTTTCTTGGATCTTGTGACAATCAGATTCAGACTGTTCCATTTCAGTCTCTGTCCTTCACACCAGAAGAATTGCAGACATTTCTATGTATCATATCACTTCTTTTTTCTTTTTATATTATTTTTTTAGAGGTGTTAATTGCACCAATTAAGATGGATTTGAGTTGGATATTTTGAATACCAATCGAGTTTAAATTATTTCATATTTCAATTATTTTAAATTTAATATTTAAATTATTTTAAAACCAGTAAGTTTAAATTATTAAATAAATTAAATTACTTTTATATTATTTTAGATTATTTTTTTTGAATCGTTCAATTTTAAAATTTTGAATTTAAATTAATTTAAGTTGAATCAAATAAATTTGAGTTATTAATTTTTTATCAAATTATATTGAATTATTCAAATTCAAATAAATTAGATGATTTTTTTCGAATTTAGGTTTAAATTATTTAAAATCTAAATTATTTTGTATTTGAATTATTCTAAATTTAATATTTAAATATTTTAAAATCATTGAATTTGAATTATTTTAAATTTAAATTATTAAATAAATCAATTTACTTTTAGATTAATTTTTTGGATCGTTCAGGTTTAAATTTTTAAATTCAAATTAATTTAGGTTGAATCAAATAAATTTGAGTTATTAATTTTTTTTATCAAAAAGATTGAATTAGATTTAAATTCAAATAAATTAAACTATTTTTTTTTTCGAATGTGGGTGAATTTTGATAGTTCCGGAACTAAGAAATGCAACTTCAACCTTACACAATTATAATTATAAGTGAGAAAAGAGCATAAGTTTCATTCTTTTTCTTCACCGATTTTCATTAAGTGATAATTATATAATTTAAAATTATGAGGCGTCTGGCATATGATGTTTTATTTTTGAGAAAATGACCTTTGATAGTTGGCAGGCAGGTTGTTGACACTGAAGCTAACAACATGTGGCCCTTTTCATGCGCGCTAGATCGGCGTGCATTGCTGCATCCGCGTGAGGTAGCAATTTGGCCTTTGGGCAAAATGTGGATATCAGAGGTAATAACTATTTATAACTGAAAATTTGATCAGCATATCAATTCCAAGTGTTTTAAAGAAATATTCAATCAAACCATCATTGTTTAATGATTGCAATGAAAATAAAATTATCATAAGTAAAATATCCTAATTAAAACACATTACTGGACAAAATTTTTTATCGAAAAAAATTAAAATTCTATCGATAAAAACAGTAGCTATGGATTTAATAAAAAAAAATCCATTGGTGGTAATTAAATCGATAATATTATTTTAAGGGTAATGATTAAAATCCGTTGGTGATACAGGACAAATGAGGTATAATTGATTGAGGTATAATATTATTTTTTTTTTTTTTGCATGCAGACACAAAAATAACAAGCAACAAAGTGATAAAAAAAAAAAAAAAAAACCTGATTTGGCTGTATATATATGACAAAGTTTTGGTTGCAAATTTGCTTGAGGTTTGTTTATGGAAGTTGAAGTGTTAAGGGTTGCTTTTTTTTTTTCGTTGGTTCTATTCTATATATTATAGCTGTCTCTGTATGTGCTATTACATATGTTGACTTTTTGTGACATTGGTATTCTTGACAAATTTTCTTTACATTTCGAAAACAAATCTTTTACTTAAATAAATTCAGAAACATATTATATATTAAAACAAAGATTGAATGAACCCACTTATTAATACTGTACCCTATCTTTTATTAGTTGCATTAATCAAAGTAAAACCCTAGCATTCTCATTTTTAGTAGATATATATATATATATATATGTATGTATCAAACTCAACTTGTATATTACCATACAACTGGTCCCAAGCTCGGATAAAGCAAGAGGATTGCGATAGGATGATAGTTAACGTAAAACATAAAATCGATTTCAAAATTATAAGATATGAGGTTTAGTTTATTATTATTGTTATTATATATATATTTATATGTATGTATGTATGTATGTATCACTTTCTTATTTAATTTGATCTAGGGAAGGTTTTTTTTTTTTTTTAATTTGGAGAGGAAGGATTCAAATCTACTTTGAGTAAGAAAATAAATAAATTAATCATTGAGTTAAATGTTCAAGTGTTATATATTACTAAAGCATTAATGTACCCAAAACCCTAAAAAAAAAAAAAAAAAAAAAAACCTTGAAAAATGCAAAGAAACCTCAAAATGCCAAAAAAAAAAACCTTGAAATATATATATAAAAAAAACCCTCAAAACCTCAAAAAACCTTGAAATATATATATAAAAAAAAACCCTCAAAACCTCAAAAAACCTTGAAAGAGGTTGCAAATATTAATATTTGAATCCCAAACTTACTGAATTGAAAGAAGTATTTTGTGTTTTCTAATTGTTGTGAATTGATAATACTCTACATAGTTTCTTTCTTTCTTTCCCATGGTAGCTCTATATATGCTTTAAAAGATAATAATTGATGTTATATATACTTCAAGAATTACACACCATCCACATTTTTTTTTCTTTTTTCCTTCTAGTTTTTATTTGGCATGAAAATAAAAAAATAATATAATATGTTTTATATTAAAATTTTTCATTCTTTATTAATACTATATTCAATCAGTACATTTTAGTGTCAAAATATAGAAATAAAAAAGAAGAAAGTCATTAAAAATTAATATGAAAAAAATAAAAGCAAAAACTAGGTGTTAAAACATAATTGCATAAATAGATAATGTAATTTTACAATATCTTAAAAAAATTAATATGATGAAGGAAATGAGACTTGAATTTCTGTCTATATTCTTACTTAACACAACATGACATTTGCGGTTATTAATTACTAGTTAGTATATGTTCCATGTGATACACATATATTATATAATTTACTCTAAAATTTTAAGACCTTTTTTTTATATATACAAAGAAGATCACAATATGAGACGTCGCCGTTAGAAATAGAAAAAATAATTATAGGTATTGAGATTTGAACTTTAAACTTATAAGATGATAACTCTTAAAGGTAATTGTGCATAAACTAACTAAATTGAATTTCGTGTTTCAACTTTCCAATATTTATCACTTATGATTAAGTTTGTCAATATAAAAAAAAAAACTGTATATACATATAGTAAGATATATAAAACAATACATATATAAAGATTATAGAGAAGATCATGTATAATGAACAATATGTTTAAATGAAATTAATTAAAAACCTATGAAAAATGGGTTATGCATGAAAATTAATTCATTTATATAGAAGAGCATTTCCTCTAATTGTTATGTCAGTGATGAAGTTACTGAACATGGCATCCAGGCTAAAGAAAACTATTAATGAAACTATATATAACAAAATATAGAAAGTTAAGGCACAGGAATCACTGCCATACTAGTGTTCTAAAAAATTAAAGTACAAATTAACGTTCATTTCACCTAACTAATTAAAACTCTGTCTATAATAATAATAATAATAATAATAATAATAATAATAATAATAATAATAATAATAATAATAATAATAATAATATGCATTTAGAAAGCCTGAAGTATTATATAGCATCTTACCTTCTGTATTGTAGAATTAATTAATCCACCTGAAGAACTTGAAAATAACTGTCACAGCTACCTCTCTTTCTCCTGGTTGATATATGTTCAACGTATCCATTTTGAGGTGTTTCAAACAGAATGTAATGACCCTTATTCTAATTTTTCTCTGGCTAATTTGATGATATCTGAAACTTTCAGCCTCAGCAAACATATGAAATACCACTAATTGATGCTTCCAAATTCATGATCATCATTGATGTATAAATGTAGTCCCAGAAATCAAATTAATATGGATTTGAAGTTTTGAACGTGCTAGGCTTCAGGAACTCTTTCAAGAATTGGTATTATCCTGATCATCTGCATGACTTTCATCATCATTTTGTGTGTGAGTGAGGCCAGCATTTACGTTTAATGAAAAAGGCTTCATGGGAGAACTCATTGTGAAAGAATTTGGTAGAAAATGTTGGGAATTTGAGCTCAATAATTGGAAACGGTTCATTTGCCTGGAATCACTACTGTCCCCTGGACCTGGAGTAGTACCATATAGAGGATATGTGGGGAAAAGTGAAGGCATTGTCGACGGTGGGCAGAAAAATAACTGTGGTGCATGTGCTGATGGAAGAGAAAGTGAAGATGGCAGCGGCACAGTGGTGTTACCATCGAGGAAATTTTCAGTTTGTGGCAGAAATCCATGGTTTCCAAATTGAGATAATGATAGACTTGAAGGCTCCCAATGGTAGTAGGAATTGAAGGGCATGGCATTGGGAAAAAGCTCTAGAGATGAAGCCTGTCCACTAGTATAATCACCAATATTTCCATCTTGATTTTGTTCTTCATTTATTTTGATCCACTTTCCCTTCTCAGCAGCAGCAGCAGCAGCAGCAGTTGTACTTTCTCTTTCAACTTCATTACTTCTTGCTCTCAGTGCAGCATCCATAGTGTCCCAATATCTTTTCGCTGCTATGCTTTGATCTTCTCCTCCATCCTTGATGAACATAGAATTTGCATCGAAGAAAGGAGCAAGAGAAGATTGGGAGGCATTTGATTCATGAGAAACCAGCATTGGCTGATGGAACTGACCAAAACCCTGAGGCATCTGAAGTGGAGGGAGCTTATCAATATCATCTTTAGTAGCATCAAGCAACCAATCGATTACCTTGCTTGGCTGACTAAGGCCAAGCCTGTCTTGCAAATCATATAACTGAATTGCAGTAGGTACGGAAAGCCTAATCCGCCGGTCCCTTAGTCCCCTTATTGTGCAAACTTTGCTATGCCTATCTTTTCCTCCGAAAGAACGCGAGACTCTGACAATCCTTGGATTTCTAAACCCCGGCCACTGCCTTGAACTTGATGGCCCCTTCGAGACCTTGCTGTCATTGGTTTCACTGGCCTCTTGCTTTGCTTGAAAACTTTTTTCCTTTGAACTCGAGATCATCTTACTCCTCTCATCATCATTCAAAAAGGTATATCAACTGAAACAAGCACTAAAATAATCCGTATTACTCAGCAAATTGCTCTATCTTCATGTGTTTTTTTATCTAGTTTTACTAAATTGTACTAACTTGAGAAAAATTTTGCTTCAGAATTGATAAAAGGATATGAAAATAAGATCAACAGGTATCGAAAAATACAAGTAATAACTGTACTACTTCGTTGTTCATGAGTATTGAAGGATGTTTAATACTCCACTCGATGACATATAAACAAAATTTCAAGAAAAAAAAAAGCAATTAAAAAACCAAACATAGAGAAGGATCAAGTTTAAATTTGTATAAAAATTGTATTTTGGATATATAGAGCCTGAGCCTGTTGATCCAATTAAAACTTGAGTAAAATCAATTTGACTTATGAATATCAAATCCAACAGGAGAGGAGATGACTTTGGAAATCATAGAAGCTGTACTTTCTAAGAAAATGGTTAGAGAAACATTATTCCTCTACTTTTTATGATCTAAAAGTTAGATCGATGCACAAGAAACTTACATAAAATTAACAGATGAAAGTGTTGCACATCTTGCAGCAGATCAGTCTAATTTGGTTCTTGCTGCTGACTGTCAAGGCTAAGGAACTACAAGTGGGAGAAGATCAAGCACCAGAGATCGAAAACTTCTTAAGTATTATCTTCAGCTTAGAGGAACTGTGTGTAAGGGTTAAAGCTTGAAACAATAATTCTACCCAGAATAAACCTAGCAAAAAGAAAACCACAGCTGTAGGGAAAGAAAAGATGCTGGAATTTCACTTCAAACATGTTGCATGGTAATGGAAAAGGAAAAGGAATGGCATATCCGAGTCCATGTGGCATCCCACGCGCATTGACATACCAATATTCGACGAGCAAAATGTAAATTTCATAAATTTGTTCATACCACAAACTGAACAATCACTAGTTTAATTATTGGTATTTTGGTCATCTTTGTATTTACATTATTTCAAGTTTTGAATAGCACACAAAGTAGAATGTTAACTTCATGTACATATTTTGGGGACCACTCAATATATACTAGAAAAAAGAGGGCTGAAGCTTTATTGGCATCTACAAATAGCTTTATATAATGCATGCCTACATTTGTTTGATTTTCTGCCATACATATGTTTTATATCAACATATATATGTAATGCTACATTAAAAAGTTAACTTTAATTCGGCAACGAAAGTGAAAACCAGATGCTTAATGTCTTTGGCCTAAGTGGAGAATAGGAAATCACTGCCATGCAACCCTCTTATTTCTTCAAATGAGCTAGACTTTGATGTTGGGGAAAAGAAATTGTAAGTAGAATTAGGTTCATAAAGAAGGAAAATTTTATCAGATAATTGTGGATTCCAAAGTTGTGGTGTATGCAATGCTGCAATTTAGTTAGCACTATTACATTACAGAAAACTACATCTAGTTAGCAGCTACCTTGTAGAGGAGGGACCAACATATATAGCTTCTTTAAAGCATCTACACTGAATAGAAACAAGGACCACCACACCTATGGCAACACTGAGATTTGCACCAGACAAGTTGGACTTTATAACTTTAGTGATTCATAAGTTCCATTGCAGTACAACATATACAGATTCTTCACAATTTACAAAATTTAACTTCAGTTTGCAAATGATATCTTTTTCTAATTAGAAATTGTATATATTGAAATTCTAGCCTGAATTAGCTATATATCAATATGAAATATGATATGCCAACTTTGAAATTTTGTTAGCTTATATATAGAGGTATTTGTCAACTCAAAGTTGGGTGATGCAGTCTCCTCAACATTTCTAGACAATGGAGTTTTGGAGGATAAAGAGAAAAAACCTAAAAAAAAAAAAAAAGTGCTTGTCTTTTGCAACCAAGATATGAACATTATTCTCATACTGAGAGTTATGCAAGAATGAAGAATCATGGGGTTCATTGCACACCTGCATAAATGAACTCGTGACAAGGAATGAAGCCAAAAAGATTGATATACATCAGCCTTTACACGTTGCCTCTAATAAGGAAGAGATAAAGTTTGTTTCTGCATTTTGAGAAATTGTTTGGTGTAACTGTTAGAATAACACTCCAAAATGCTTCCAAAAGTAGTGAAAACTAACATCAGCAATTGAGAGATAATGCCACTTTTCCTAATTGTTTTTGTTACTATCTCTAATCATCTCAATCTGCCTATAAGGGAAAAAAAGGGGATCAAGCATTTATACAAAAAAAAAAAGAAAAGGTAATGATCTCCAGAATAAAAAAAAGACAGAAAAGAAACAACAACCAAAGCTGATAACCCAGAAAATGTATATATGTTTGAGTGAGGTGGAAAGTAAGAGAGAGAGGGAGAGGGAGAGGGAGAGGGAGATCACTGCAACTTTTTTTTTTTTTGAGTTACCTTAACAATCTAGAAAATGGGAATCTTCATCAAAATCATAGTAGAAGCTCAAATAGATCAGCGAAGCTTGCAGTTGCAGTAGCAGTTGCACCAGTTCAAAAGCTGAACTCAATGTCATATCCCTATTGTATCGAACCAAGAAAAAACGCTACTAGTTGATGAACACTAGAACCTGCTGCAATATCCTCAGCTTTGCATGAAAATTCAATGTTCGTGGACAATGCAAATAGATCGAATCTACATATAGCAAATCAATATGACCGTTCTACTATTTCTCAAAGTTGATTAAGAGGTAAAGCCAATATCCCCTTTAAGCTTCAAGCCTTTAAAATTTTTTGGTAAAGACAGAAGTGAACAACAAACAATGAACCCTAAAAACAATTCCCTCTTTATTATTTCACATGTTCAAACGTTTTTTTTACAAAGAAGTTCTCTGTTGGAAATAAGTTAAAGGATTTGTTGGATATTGTATAAATTAACTGAGTTAAGCCTGTTTATTAAAAAATACTTATAGTTTCTTGTCTCTTTATTTCCAGGGTTTCGACCAAACTTTGTATTTACATAAATAGAAAAATTTTTTGATGAAAATATAAATAGACAATTGTTTTGAGTTATCCCTTTCTTTGCAGGAAAAAAGGGGTGGGGATCACGAGAAAGGATTTATGTATTCCCCAGATTTTCTTGCGAAGGCACCTCCATTATTATCAGATTAAAATGGTCCCAGATCTCAGACAAACACATGTTGTTTTTCAGGCAGATATTAATCTCCTCACTTTGAGTTGAAAAGTTCAGCGTAGTGTTTGATCTCCAAAACAAGAGGGACGATATTTATTTTTTAATGGTTTGCAATATGCTTGAAAATTAACCCATTTTTGCTTCCTTAAGTTTCTTTGAAAAATTAAGATAAACTTCGTAAAACAGAGAAATTTTCCTTGTTGTTTAAGCTATGTTAATTATTTTATACATCGTCATCCTATCATTCTCGTAGAATTCAAAAACTCAATTAACGGTAGATGAAATAATTTCTCAATAATATAATTAAAAAGTAAACATTTTAACATACTTGGGAAATTTAACATCTCCATTGATGGTACATATACAAAACCAACTCTTATTATAAAGGTTTAAACCTGATGTTAGTGGCATTTTTTTATCTAAAAAATATTTTTTTTATTAGAAATTATCAACAGATAATCAAAGATATTTTTTATTTTTGGATCAATTTAACGTATACAATATCACGTTAGCTCGATTACATCATTTTTCTACTTCAAAAACCTCTCAATTTCATCTATAAATAAAGTTATCCAATTATTATCAATTGAATCTAACCTTTTCTTTACTTCCCTTTTTTCTTTTCCTTTCGATCTTCTTTGTCCCGATCTCTAACTTAAATATTAGAGTGTAAAACCACCATATGCCTTTGTCTCTAATCACTATCTTTTTCTTTTGTGATTTTAAGGTTTTCACTTTCAACTCAAAGCTCGATACTTACACTTGATCAATACTTTGTTTTTTTTTAATGATTACAGAACTTACTTGTTGTCAAACTATGAACTTGCAGGGAACCAAAGTTAAAAACCAGAATGAATAATTGTCTTAGTTATAAATTGACGACTTTGTAATTGAATTTGAGGTCTAGAGCATCAAATACTCCACAAACATATATAATAAATCACAATACATTGTTTTCTTCTTTTAGCATCCTATCTATATAAGAGTTAATTTTAATAAAATTACAATCCTTGTAGGCTTGGTCAAATAATACATACTATGCTAGGTTGGCTTTAATTGGCTACCTATCATCTAGTTAAAATGAATTACCTAACCTGCTAAAGTACCTTTTACTTACTGCTAAACCTGCAGTCTAAGAGATATGGTTAGTACTTGATATGCACCTAAACTTAGCTATAGCTTTAAGACATTTTTCTTTTTAAGTACAATTTTCAGCTTGCTTTATCTGCAATACTTGATCAGTCTGTTAACAGCAACTACTTTGACGGTCTATGCAAAACCATGGTTGATGGTAACTTTGATTGCAGAAGCAATATTACGGTTGAAAAATTAAATGCCCCCCCAATTCCTCTGCTGAATGCATCCAACTTATGTACAAATGTTAAATTTTGTGGTAAAATTGATTCCATTCTGAGATGCAACAAGAGGGGAAATGAGATCAATATCTTCAGAATTTGATTATGATAGTTTTTTTTTTTTTTACAAAGAATGTCTCAATCTAAGATAGAGAAAGCAATTACAAGTGCTAGAATTTGAATCCAAATTAATTGGATCTCACTTTTATAGGGTGGCTTCATAAACCAGCTGCGTTAAGTATCGGGTTCGATTTTGTTATTTTAAGTTATGATGCTAATCATGAAAACCCCATATATATTTCCTATGATGCAGCAAATCAGACTGCTACTGCTAAAAGATTTTACAGAATCTTATGTAAGTATAAAAATTGATGGTTGCTGCAAATTACTAAACCCAGCCAATAGCTAGTGCTTATGTGATACAATTATTTATGTACTGATCAGCTATTTCAACCAATGTACAACTCCAAATTAAAGAGGTAGATGAATACTGTTGAGCAAATAGATTTTTTTTTCATTACATTTTCTTATCAATCTTATAGGTACATTCCCATCTTCCATTTTTGTTTCAGGTTTTCTATTAATAATCAGGAATAGAATTAATTCTCATCGACAAAAACTGTATCCTCTGACTAATGTACTCTTTTTTTT